ATCTGATTGTTCTTGTTTCTTGCCTTCATACTCTGTGTGAAGTTGTGAAAGTAATCTTGCCCGTTATGTCCTGAAGACCTTGTTTTGAACTTGGTCATTTTCTGATAGTCCTCACTTGTTTAGGCTTGTTACGTGAATAGAATTTTTGTGTGCTCTTTTGCCGCAATTGTGAAATCTGGGGAGTTGCAGAGATCTTTTGTCAGTGATCTTGTTGGTCTCTATCACATAGCTGGTGGAGAATTTGTTTTGTTTGTCACATGACCAGTGGAGGATGGGTAAACCCTTTACTTGTAAGAGATTCCAGGCTATTTTAGCCAATGTTTTGTGTTTTCTAGCTGCGTTTTAGGAGCTGGATTAACTTGGTAATTCCGTTGCTCCTTATTTTCTAAAAGTGTTATAGTGAAGTTTCACTTTTTCCATTTGGAGTTTCGTGGTCTTTTCATGTGGCTCATTTTTCTGTATTGGTTAATCAAGAGCAGTGATTATTCAATTGAAATTGTTGTCTTTTTGTGAAGATTGGCAAGTTATCATAAAATTAGACTCTCTATTGTTGCCAATCTCTACATTCTTGATATCTGGAAATTGCTTGAAACTCTTGAAATCCATCTTGAATCTTTCTTGAGATTGCTTTGTACTTGTTCTTGAAACTGAAATCCAAAGGAAATGGATAATGATTATTTAAATCCTCATTATCTTGATACTTGTCTGAAATTGATTCTTGCATTGTTCTTGGAAATCTAGTTTGAGTTGTCCTTGGAAACGTTCTTGTTCTGACTCTGCTCTTGCTCAAATTTTGTATACTGCTCTTGCTTGAATCTTGAATATTCTGCTAGTTCTTGTTTCAGTATACCTGTTGACCTTCTTGGTTTTTGATTTTGTTCATATGGACACCTCTTTAGGAGGGGTGACGATTATCAGAAGATAACTATATGAGGCATCCTAATTCTTGTCTCTTGCAAGTGTTAATCTCGGTATTCTTGAGGTCTCAGCTTTGACTTGACTCTAGGATGACCTGATTGAAAATCTGTTTAGCCTCGCCTCCATGAGCTACGAGGTAAAGGGGTAGTCCTTGAAATACTTGATGCCCTAGAGTTTTGTTCCAAGTGAAATGATTCTTTTATCTAGCTGCTTGGATTTTTGTTTGCCCTTTTAATTAGAAGACATGAATCTTCTAAACATCTTGATCCCAGCCATTGCTTGTTCTGTTAATTAATTCTAGTACTTGAGGAGCTAGATCTTGACATCTTGATTATATCTGCTCTTGAATCCGTGTTCTGATTGTCATTATTGGAATCTCTTTTGTGGGCCTAATTTTTGGAATTCTATTGTTTGTTTCATGGTTAACTCTTGTCTCTCAATTTTGACTGCTTGGTTAAATTTGATCTTGATTCTTGGTGAATGCCGTGTTGTTGCTGAATTTTTGAGGCATTCTACCTTGTACTCTTGTGTTCCAATATTCTTCCAAGCATTCATATTTTCATTGATTTTATTTTGTTGCAGTTCTTGAGATTTTTACATGTCTTTTGATGGGTCTAGCTTTTAACTCTTGTTAATTGCTAAAATTTGCCTCTTGATTTCAGTTGCTTTGTTAAACATGATCTTGGTTCTGGTTGACCTTGTTTTGTGGCAGAATTTATAAGGCATCCATGTACTTGTTCGTTCATTCATAATCCATATATCCATTGGATGCTTATCCGTCTTTGATAAGAGTTCAAAGTTTTGTTGTACTCATCTATAAATCCATGCCATTCTTTGCCGACTCGTCTTGTGATGGGTTCAAGGCGTAACCCCACAATTGTTCTTTTGTGGCTTTGGCAGGATTTATTTTTATTCGTTGTGCTTCCCATGTCACCCCAGCCTCTAGTAGCTCATTTCATGGTAAACCCTGTTAAGTAATTAGTGTTCTGCTTTTGTGATTAGTTATGATTTGTTATCAGAGTGGCGTAGCGAAAGCGTAATGGCCTAGGTTCTGTTCATAAAGAGTAAGTGACGTGGTTGTTTTGTCTCGGATTGTGTGAAGCCACTCACCA